TCAGCGCTGAGGGAGCGCCGCACCGTCGGAGGGTCAGCGCTGAGGGAATGTCAGCTAAAGAGGTTATTTAACCAAGGCCTCATGAGAGCTGTCAGGGGAAACACCATAAGACACTGTTCTAAAGAAGGGAGGGGGTATTCTGGCCAATATTTATCCTTCAGTCAACAACAACAGATGATGACCTGGTCATTATCACTTTGCTGATGAGAGGAATCCCTCTGCATTGTGCACTGTATCAACCGGAAGTTCTCCAACATGAATGGAATTGGTTATAGAAATTCCTCAAGAATTTGAAAAATCCTGAGACACAGATTCCGTCTGACCCAGTGTGAAAGGCAACTATTCAGACTCAGGCCTCTCTTGATTTGCTTATTCCTTCAATGCGCTGAGATTAACACCGAGCATTACTGTGCACAACCATTAAATACAAAACTGACTGTAACTGAGGATAACATTGAGCTGACCCACTGGATAGGGTTTGCCCAAGGACAGAGGGGGTGCCGGATTTATAAATACACTGACCCCAGCCGCAAGCAGAACGGAGCTAAGCATCAATGAGGTATTGAACCCGATCCCGCAATTCCCCTCTTTGCCGAGCAGCAGCTTTGACAAATATCAACAGTGTCCTCTCACCCTCACGAGCCGGGCTCTCTTCACCATATCATTTAGCTTCCTCAGGGCAGCATTCCGAGGCAGGTTCTGCAGATCCAGGAACAGATCCTGCTCCTCCAACTCAAACAGCTTCCGGTTCTCGGAGATGAGGAGGGGCTCGGACCAGAAGGAGCCGATGTAGACCCGCATCACCTCAGGCGTGTTGATGACTTTACCAAGTGACCACATCAGGGCCCCGTAGACCCGCATCAGCTGCTGGGTGTCCACCTGGTCAGCCTTGTTCAGCACCACTCGTATCTTATCCTCGTTCCCCTTCAGGGCCCGGATTGCCTCTGAGAATTCATCCGAGATCTCCAGCTTGTGAGCGTCAAACAGGAGGATGATCCGATCCACTCGCTGTGCGAACCACTGCAGTACAGCAGCAAGATCATAACCTGCAGGGCAGAAGGAGATGGCTTTATAATGGTTACAAAAACAGAAGTTGCTGGAAAAGCTCAGCAGGTCCGGCAGCATCTGTGAAGGAATAAAACAGAGTTAACGTTTCGGGTCCTGTGACCCTTCCTCAGAACTGATGGTGGCTGGGAAAGCATCAGTTTATATACAGAAAATAGGGAGTAAACGATAGGATAGAGCCCAAAGAGAGAGAAAGACACTTGGACAGACAAAGGAGTTGCTAATGATCAGGCTGGGAGGGTGAATAGTTGTTAATGGGGACTGTTAGTGACTAACAACAGGGGGTGTGTAGTGGCAGGCTATGTGGTAACAAGGCCTGATGTGTGGGGTGGGGGGCTGGGACATGGGAGAGTTTAGGCCCTAAAATTATTGAACTCAATATTGAGTCCGGAGGGGTTTTACAATGGTGTTCCTTTGTATACACGCCTGGTCTCCAAACCCAGAGGCATGGGTACTACCCCTGCATCACAAAAACCTTCCAGAACTCCTCAAAGGTATTTTCTGAACGGACCTGTTCAGAGATACACCTCTGCCACAGGTGGGACTTGCATGGTGGCTCAGTACTACCTCAGGGCGCCAAGGACCCAGGTTCGATTCCACCCTCGGGCAACTGTCTGTGTGGAGTTTGCACATTCTCCCGTGTCTGCTTGGGTTTCCTCCGGGTGCTCCGGTTTCCTCCCACAGTCCAAAGGTGTGCAGGTTAGGGTGGATTGGTATGGGAAATTACCCCATAGTGTTCAGGGATGTGCAGGCTGGGTGGGTTAGCCATGGGAAATGTAGCAGGGTGGGTCTGGGTGGGATGCTGTTTGGAGGGTCAGTGCAGACTTGAACGGCCTCTATCTGCACCGTGAGAATTCTATGATTCTAACATAACCTGTGCCTCCAAGGTCAGAGGTATGAACACAACATTACAAGGACCTCAGGTATCCTTGTACACTATGGTATGTCAAGTCTCATCTTAATTGTCTTCCTGCAGCTACCACCCTCGCAGGCAGTGAGTTCTCACCAAAATCTATTCTTCAATTCTCTAAACCTCTTGTTCCTTATCTTAAGACTGCACCACCCCCTGGTTACTGATCCCTCACTAAGGGCAAACGTTTCTCCCCATCTACACCCCTCAGGACTTCACACACCTCGACCAGGTCCACCCTGAGCCTTCTACGCTCACCCCCAAGCCAATCTGGTCTCTCTTCATCACTGAGGGACGAAAGCAAAGGCCCACAGTCATCATTAATGACCCAATGGGGACTTCAGGGGAAACCTCTTCGCCCAGAGAGTGAGTGGGGGTCTCATAGCCACAGGGAGGGGTGAATGGTGACAATATACTTACAGGGAGGGTGTAAGTGGATAAACACATGAGGGACAGACGGAGGTGTGAGGGCTTAAGAAGAGGCTCCTGTGCAGCAGAAACACCAGCATGGGGCAGATGGGCCAAATGGCCTGTTTCTGTGCTGTTAATTCTGAGCATGATTTCTAAAAGGATGGTTCCTCACGGAGTGCGCAGAAAGACTTCCAACATCAGAGCACAGAGCAGCCTCTCTGAGTGACCCCGGGGCAAAGAGTCTGCTCCCTCAGCGATGTTTTCGATCAGGACACTGTTTGTAGGTTCATCTTGTCAATTGTGCCAGAGGTCAGGCAGTTTGACTAAACCTCCACCCACCCCCCTCCCACAATAACTTACCAGGACAGGTTAGAGAGTGAGGGCCCTGAACTCTCTCATTACAACAACAATATCTGGTATTGATGTAGGACCTTTCACTGGAAGAAAGTGGCAGCCCCATCAGCAGACAAAATATTGATTTGATTTATTACTGTCACATGTATCGAGCTACAGTGAAAAGTGCTGTTTTGTGTGCTTTACAGGCAGATTGTACCATACAAAGTGCATCAGGGTAACAGAACAGAGCGCAGGATACAGTGTTATAGCCACACAGAAGACGCACAGAGAGAGAGAGAGAGAGAGAGAGAGATCAACATTAACATTAAAGAGGTCCATTCAAAAATGTGATAACAGCGTGGAAGAAGCTGTTCTTGACACTATTCATATGTGTATTCAAACTTTTATATCATCTGTCCGATGGAAGAGGGTGGAAGAGAGTAAAACCGGAGTGGGAGGGTCTTTGATGATGTTGGTTCCTTTCCTGAGGCAGTGGGATATACAGATGGAGCCAATGGATGGGGGGGCTGGACTGTGATGGACTGGGCTGTGTTCGCAACCCTCTGTAGTTTCGTAATGTCTAGGGAAGAGCCGTTGCCAAACTACACTGTGACACATCCAGACAGGATGCTTTCTGTGGTGCTCCTACAAAATATGATAAGAATTTTTACAGACACGGCGAATTTCCTTAGCCTCCTGACAAAAAAAGAGGCGTTATTGTGGTTTCTTGACCATCACATCAACGTTTAGGAAGGGTCAGTGCCGAGGGAGCGCCGCGCTGTCAGAGGGTCAGCGCCGAGGGAGCGCCGCGCTGTCGGAGGGCCTGGTTTGCAGACGAGACATTAACCTGAACCCTGTCTGTCCTCTCAGGTGGGAGCTGGGAGACCCTCTCCCCAAAAAGGAGGCCTCCTGCCTTTCAACCGACATTCTCATTGCTGCTGTGGGATCTTGCTGTGCCACCACCTTCCCACAGCAGCACCCCCGTCCCCAACTAAAAAGGTTGTTTCGTTGGCTGCCGAGTTGATGCAGACATCCTGAAGTCTGTGGAAGTTGTCACGGGTGGGAAGGTCTGGGGCCAGGAATCCATCACACAAATTCAGTCTGCTGAAGCCAAAAACTGAACTGCGTCCAGGAAAACTACCCATCCCGTTGGCAGCCAATCACATCCCAGGCCCCACAGAACTCCATAAAAGGTAGAGCTGGGAGCTGCTTTGGAAAGGACTGGTTCAGAGAAACAAGCCTTCAAAGTTTTGTCCAACGTACTACCCCCAGGGAGGGGGTCCTGCAGCTGCTGGGAATAACAGAACAAACTCTCACCGAATATCTGCAGCAGAATTTAAGCAACACAAGTTTGCAAACATTTCGAAAACACAGCTGCACAACAACAGTCTCAATCTCTGAATGTCGCTGTTGTCAGATTTTGGATTATAAGGAGGGGCTGGGGCTTCTTTCACTGGATTACTGCGGGTTGAGGGGTGACCTTATAGAGGTTTGTAAAACTATGAGGGGCATGGATAAGGTGAATAGCAAAGGCCCTTTCTCCAGGGTAGGGGGATTCCAAAACCAGAGGAGCATAGGTTTAAGGTGAGAGGGGAAAGATTTAAAAGGGACCTGAGGGGCAACTTTTTCACACAGAGGGTGGTTCGTATGTGGAATGATCTGCCAGAGGAAGTGGTAGATCCGAACAGTCACAACGTTTAATAGACATTTGGACAAGTACATGAATAGGAGAGGTTGAGAGCGATATGGGCCAAATGCAGGCAGGCAGGAAGGATTAGTTTAGTTGGGAAACTTGGTCAGCATGGATGAGTTGGGCCAAAGGACCAGGACCAGGGTATGAGGTAGGTCAGTTTAGGACTGAGACAAGGAGAAATGATTCAGCAGAGGGGGTGGTGAACCTGAGCAATTCTGCAGAGACCAAGTCACTTAAATACATTTTCAAAAATAAATCAATTTCTAGATGGTAAAGGTGTCAGGGCTGTGGGAAGAGTGTAGTACAACAGTGTTGAAACACAGGATCAGCCATGATCTCAATGAATGTTAGAACAGGCTCATAGGGCTGAATGGCCGACTCCTGCTCCTAGTTTCTATCTTTCTATTAATATCTTCCCCTTTGGCCTCGACCCTACTCTTTGATTTACATCTCCCCAAATCTGATCCTGGCCCCCATGATAGAGTTTGACATCCTCTCGATGTCAGTAGTTTGGGGGTCAGTGAGGGCACCCCAGCACAGTTCAGGTGAAGACCATCCAACTGGTACAGGGTGCCACTCTCACCAGGCCTGGTGCCAGTGCCCTATGAACCAGAGCCCGCTTCTCTCACTGCAGCCTTCACCACACATTCACCTCTCTCTTCCACATTTGCCCTGTACCAGTGTGCGCAGGGCTGACTGAATTAAGCCAAAAGTTACAACCTTTGAGGCCTAGTTTCCTTAATGTGGCACCTAGCTCCTCATACTGACAGTGCAGAATCCCTGCCTGAGTCCTGTCTGTGGCTTTGGTACTTGCATGGTCCATGACAACTCAATTCTCTCCACCCTGCCCTGGTCACTGCTCGTTTCTCTCCAGCCCTGAGCTGATGCCCCAAACCCTGGCGATGGGCAGGAACATTGCCATCTGAGCCTACACATGACTCCAAACTCACAGAGATGAGGTTCAAGGGCACTTAGGGATGGGAAATAAATGCTGTCCTTGTCTACAACACCCACAGCTTGTACAAGAAAAGAAAAGATTAGGGCAGACAGGAGACGGCAATGACACATCTGTCGCCATGAGGATCTCGAATCAGAATCTTTCTCTTTAAAAAAAAGGATAACTGGACCCGAAATATTAACTCTGTTTCTCTCTGCACAGACACTGCTGGACCTATTGAGTTTCTCCAGCACTGTCTGTTTTTATTTCAAATATCCAGCATCTGCAGCTCTTTATTTTATCACCTAATCCCTGTATGACATCATCAGGTTGGGTGGAGCCTAATGCAAGCTCTGACATTAACCCTTTACCTTACACTACAAAGGCATTGCTAGACAGAGAGCCAGTGTAAGTCAGTGGGTGCAGTGAGGAAGGGGAATCAGCTCGAGTTGGGATTGGAGATGAAAAATTTCAGAGGAGTTAAAGTTTACTCTGGGAGTTTGTTTAAGTAAGTATGCTTTGGCATTGTTGCCTTTATTGGTCAGTGCATCGAGTATAGGAGTTGGGAGGTCATTTTGTGGCTGTACAGGACATTGGTTAGGCCACTTTTAGAATACTGCATGCAAATCTGCTCTCCTTGCTATGGGAAAGATATTGTGAAGTTTGAAAGGGTTTAGAAAAGATTTTCAAGGATGTTGCCAGGGTTGGAGGGTTTGAGCTGCAGGGAGACGCTGAATAGGCTGGGGCTATTTTCCCTGGAGCATCGGAGGCTGAGGGGTGACCTTACAGAGGTTTATAAAATCATGAGGGGCGTGGATAGGATGAATAGTCAAGGTCTTTTTTCCCAGGGTAAGGGAGCCCAAAACTAGAGGGCATAGGTTTAAGATTTTTTTTCCTTTATTCATTAACAGGGTGAGGATGTTGCTGGTCAAGCAGCAGTTATTGCCTACCCCTAATTACTCAGAATCAACCACATGGCATGGGTCTGGAGTCACATGTAGGCCAGACCAGGTAAGGATGGCAGTTTCCTTCCCTAAAGGGCATTAATGAACCAGATGGGTTTTTCCTGACAATGGATTCATGGTCATCAGTAGATTCTTAATTCCAGATATTTTCATTGAATTCAAATTCCACCATCTACCATGGTGGGATTTGAACCCAGGTCCCCAGAACATTATCTGGGTCTCTGGATTAACAGTCCAGCGATAATACCACTAGGCCATCACCTAACCACATGATAGGAAAGATTTAAAAGGGACCTGAGGGGCAACTTTTTCAAATGCTGGCAAATGGGACTAGATTAATTTAGGATATCTGGTCAGCACGGACAAGTTGGGCCGAAGGGTCTGTTTCCGTGCTGTACCACTTTATGACTATAAGTGAGACGTCAGTCAGAGTCATGTTCCAATTGGATAAAAACAGCATGGCAGGTTGGTCTTTAGTAAACTTGCAGCAGCAGGGATCCACCAGTTGTTTGGCTGGAGAAATGTGTGAATATATCCTCCAGCACTCCAACAAGGCTGGAAGCAGATACAGAAAATCTGTGAGAAGTCAGCCAAGGTGAGGTTAGACAGGCAGGTAATTTATCAAGTAGATAGACAACATTACAGGGCATTCTACAGAATTTACAACCCAGAAACAGGCCATTCAGTCCATCCAGTCCATGCTGGTTTTTAAGCTCTACCTAAGCCTCCTCCCATTCCCTCTTCATCTCACACTATCACCCTATTCCTCTCCCCTTCATGCATTTATCCAGCTTCCTCCTAAATGTATTGATGCTATTCACCTTGAGACCCCGCTGTGAGAGTGAGTCACACATCCTTCCCACTCTTCTGGGGGGGCGGGGGAAGGTTTCCCCTGAATTCCCCATGGGATTTTTACATGGCTGTCTTATATTGATGACCCCTAGTTCTTGTCTCCTTCCACAAATTCTGCTTCAGTTATCCAGGGCACTGGTGAGACCATATTTTGAATACGGTGCGCAGTTTCAGTCTCCTTATTGAGGGAAGGTGTGTATATGTATCGGAGGTGGTTCTGGGGAGGTTTACTGGATTGATACTGGGAAGGAATGGGTTGTTTGAGAAGGAAAGGTTGGACTGTTCCCACTGGAATTTGGAAGAGTGAGGGGGTGATTTGACTGAAGTGTATCAGACCTAAATGGTCTGGGCATGGTGGATGGGGAAGGGATGATTCCTCATGTGGGTCAATCCAAAACCAGAGAGTATAGGTTTAAGGCGAGAGGGGAAAGATTTGAAAGGGACCTGAGGGGCAACTTTTTCTGTGTTGCATGACTCTATGACAGGTGAGGAGAAATTTTTTTCTCTCAGAGGGCTGAGAGTCTTTGGAACTGTCTGCCTCAGGAGGCAGTGGAATCAGGGTCATTGAATAGTTTTACAACTGAGGTGGATAGATTCTTGTCAGATGGGAAGTGAAAGGGAGGAAGTGGATAAAAGGTGATTGAAGCATTAAAAAAAAGCCATGAAAGCATTGAATGGTGAACTAGACTTGAGGGGCTGAATGGCCTATTTCTACTACTACTTTGTAGGTTTGTCTGTAAGCAGAGACATCTGTTGACATTGTCCCTCTGGAATCTCCTGCTGACAGAGGCTGCTGGTTCCCTGGTCCACTCCAAATCCCCGAGGGTCACCCTGTGGATCCTAGTTACCCTCACTATAAACTGGGACCCTTGGGAACCAACTGACCCATTTGTAGATAGCCCAGCATTCACTGCACAAGGAACCCCAGGGTCAGAGGTGACAGGTTTTGTGAATTAGGGAAAGCCTGAGGTTTTCCCCTGACACGGTGGCTCAGTGGTTAGCACTGCTGCTTCACAGCACCAAGGACCTGGGTTCGATTCCACCCTTGGGCGACTATCTGTGTGGAATTTGCACATTCTCCCCGTGTCTACATGGGTTTCCTCCGGGTGCTCCGGTTTCCTCCCACAATCCAAAAATGTGCAGGTTAAAGTGGATTAGCCATGGAGAATACAGGGTCACAGGGATGGGGTGGGTCTGGGTGGAATGCTTTTCAGAGGGTCAGTATGGGCTGAATGGCCTGCTTCCACACTATAAGGATTCAATGATTATATACAGATGAGCCTGGGGCAAGTTTAGCTTTGTCCTGACGAACAACAGACACTCGCGCTCCAGTTTCCTCAGTGCAAGTTCTGACAATGTCTCTCTCTAACTGAGAAACCTGCTGCAGCTTTTTAAGATCAAAGTCCCAGGTACTGAAGATGGTGTGACAGGCTACAGAAGTTAAAAGGGATAATGAGGAAAAGCATTAATTGTTTGGAACACTGAAGGCTGAATGATCTCATTAAAGAGCTTAAGCAGACAGAGGAACACAAAGCTGTGGAAAACAAACACAGCACAAGATTAGAATCTTTCAGCGATATTATTTCCCCCCAAAACCTTTTCCGCTGTTTATTATGTGCACAGGATACAATGAACAAAGCTCACAGTTTATAACTGCACAAGCAAACATCCAGGTTTGTCAGAGTTTCAGAGTTCCACGTATCACTCCCATCACCTGGTTCCCAGTGAGAACTTATCGAAAAGCACTGAGCACAGTCAGGGATCACAATCTCCCACAAGCCAACGGGCTCTTTACACAAGGTCCACTTTTCACCTTCTTAACCCTTGGAGACAACGTTTGTTCAGGGGAGGCCATTCTTCCCATGCTATCCCAGACAGGGGGCATCATAGTCGTAGAGTCATAGAGATAAACAGCACGGAAACAGACCCTTCAGTTCAACTCGTCCGTGCTGACCAAATATCCTAAATTAATCTAGTCCCATTTGGCCCATATCCCTCTAAACCCTTTCTATTCACATACCCATCCAGCTGCCTTTTAAATGTTGTAATTGTACCATCCTCCTCCACTTCCTCTGGCAGCTCATTCCATACACACACCAACCTCTGTGTGAAAATGTTGCCCCTTAGGCCCCTTTTAAATCTTTCCCCTCTCACCTTAAACCTATGCCCTCTGGTTTTGGACTCCACCACCCTAGGGAAAAGACCTTGACTATTCACCCTATCCATGCCCCGTATGATTTTATAAACCTCTATAAGGTCACCCCTCAGCTCCAGGGAAAATAGCCCCAGCCTATTCAGCCCCTCCCTGTAGCTCAAACCCTCCAACCCTGGCAACATCCTTGTAAATCTTTTCTGAACCCTTTCAAGATTCACAACATCATTCCTATAGCCGGGAGACCAGAATTGAGCACAGTATTCCAAAAGAGGCCTAACCAATGTCCTGTACAGCCACAACATGACC